TTCCTCTAAATGGGCGTAGCCTGGAGGACTAAAGGGGGCGTGAACGAGACTGGGCCGTTTACATTGCTCTGGGCGCGGGGCTGCTGACGTCAGGTCTTGCTTCAGACGTCAGGTCTTGCTGCCGCGCCAGTGTTGGCGCCAGATTCAAAATTCAAATGTAGTAATACAGGTCGCCAGCAGATGGCGCCTCACTGACGGTTTTAGGCAGAAAGTTTAACTTTCAACTAATTTGCACCAAAGTGACAAAATTATGAGCAGGATATGTAGACAACACTATTGGACACTCATTTAAATCGTTTATCAGCAAAAAAAAGTGGATTTGAGGGTGAGTTGTCCTTTGAGAGTTGTAGTCCGTTTTGCTCTCGCAGCAATGCTAGTTTCCAATACTTCCGCCGTAAGCTCATTCACAACCACGTGACTGGAAGACGTTGATGCATCTGGTCAATTGCAGGCAATTCTCCTGGGCAAGGTCAGCTCTGTGGGGAGCTCCCAATCAGAAAATGTGTTCAATGTCTTGAATTGTGATCTTCCTTTGCATTATTGTTGCCCATAAAACTTAATAGTCAACTTTGTTTTTTCATTTATTATTCATGCTGTTTGTCCGGAAAAGAAAGTGTCTGGTGAACAAACACAAAAAAGCTGTACAATGCTGTGAACATATTAGAGCACTAAATGTATACTATAAACAACCGTTTGCATTCTGTGTGTACCCTGTGAGTCACTATCTCATGCTTTGGGCTGAGAGCACTTTTTCACTTACAAACATGCATGCGCAACAAGTGAGAGAAACAAACTGTTTTATAATATATACATATTTACTGTATATATCATAAAACGGTTATTATTTTATTTTTTCTACATTTTCTACATTCTATTATTTGTTGTTATTGTGTTTGTTTTTTCTTTTTTGCTTGGATTGAAAGTTGGCTTCCTCCAGTTTAAGTATAATTTGAGAATAAATCACGACTTGTGTGTTTTATGTTTTGATCTCATAACTGTCACATCGTTCCTGCTTCTCTTTTTCATGTCATTCCTCTCCTTTGTGAACCTGCTGAATGCCGAGTGTTTACAGTAATCACCCCATCATTCCACGGTGGCAAAATCATCCGTTTTTGGAGCTTGTCAGGTTACACACAATATAACCTCTCTCTGCCATGTAATCCCAGCAGCATGGACCAATGAAACAACCAAATTATTTTATTTACCAGGAGAATCATGAATCAAAGCCCTCCCCGGCAGCCTCGCAGAGTGGCGTGATGGCATTAACAGTCGCCCTACGGGGAAAAGTGCCAAAAAAACTTTGCTCGACGTTTTTATTCACAACACCCCAGCGAAGAACACACACCAAGCCAGTAATGAGGTGTCTAGAGCTTTGGGCACGGGGCTATAGCATTCCGTAGCCTTTGCCGCTGTGATATTTCTTGGAGTGTATTTATTTTGGTGGGTAGCGTGCCATCACACAACTTTTAATACAAAAATTCCCTTTAGCAATGGCTGCATGGGGATGGATACTGAAAGAACCAGGCTTCCCCAGTGTGCAATACCACTACACCTCGTGCTATTGAGTCAGTGAGTGTGAATGTGACCATGCTAAAGTTTGAGCTGCAGGATGGATGGGTCGGCCCGGCAGTAAATGACCTACCTTGATGTGGCCTATCAGCTGCGCTCTCTAGCCAGACTCCCCCATATCCAGTTTCATCCATCTTTATAAAGGCAAAGATGACGGAGAGATGGAAGGGAGCAATATAACTGTGGAGGGAAAAAAGTAGAGAAAAGAAGAGAGAAGACGGCTTCGAGCGGATAAAGGGCTAATTAAGGGACATGTTTTGGAGAATGAGCAAATCTAGACTCGCAGCTCAATCAATTGTCATTTGCATGAGGAACTGCAAGTGTTCTGTACTTGATAGATGGATTTTGCTGCCATTTAAAGACTGCACTTTCACACCACATAAAGAATCCATCTAACGAGTTCCAAAATAGTTTCCATACCTATTTAAGTAAGTAAGTAATCTTTATTTATATACCGCCTTTCACAGACAGAGTCACAAAGCGGTTTACAATTGTTATTTTTGGTCACTTGTCCTCACTCCACACAGAGATGGGAGTGGGGTTGCCAAACAGGAGGCGCATGCCAGACCTATTGTACATATTTTTTTTTAGTGGTAGGGGAAACCGGAGTACCCGGAGGAAACCTACATAGACACGGGGAGAACATGCACTCCACTCAGAAAGGCCCTGGTCGGACCGGAATTCGAACCCAGGACCTTCTTGCTGAGAGGCGAGAGTGCTATCCACTCAGCCACTGTTTTTTTTTTTTTTCAAATTGAAAAAGATGTATAATAATGATGCCCGTGGTTCTTTTTTAAAGTAAACACAAGTGAACATGTTCCTAATGACTTTTGTTGACATGATATTTATCGTTATTGTGTTATAAATATTTAGATTATATGTGTTTAATTTGGTTAATGTCCTGGACCTGTGCGTGTCTGTTTATGTGTATTTACATGCATTCTTACATAAACAAGTTTTCTATTAAGATTAACGAGCAAAATTAGTAAGAGTTGTTCACAGAAGGATACTTTCACAAGTTGACATAAGACACAAGATCTATTGACACAAATCCATCATTAGACAAATAATAATCTTGAAAAAAAAACAATCTAAAAACACACACACCACATGACCATGCTCATGACATTAAAGCTATGCAATGGTTCGGAGAGGAAAATCCATTTGAATCCTCCCACTATGGCACAACTTTGTCTGCTGATCAGCCTTCACTGGCTGTAGTTAAACAGCACCTTTCACATCCATCTTCAGCTCGTGCAGCAACCCCTCTCCTCATCATCATTTCAGCTTCCACCACCACCAGGAGTTAGACCCTGTGGGATATCACTTTCATTACTCTTTTTTTGAATTCCCTCTGCAAACACCAAGCAATATTCCTGACGGGTTCTAAGCGATAAATTGTATCCAACATATTATGTGTCACGTGTCTTTCTAGATTCAGGGTTAGGGTTTGTATTCATTCTAGATTCAGACCAGTCAACAAGTATCATTCATGCAATGTGTACATTTCCCCAGTGTGAGATCAATAAAGTCTTTCTTATATTATCTTATATATTGTGGGATGTACAATGATATCCCACATACTTAAACATTTACTCAAAATCACTAAATGTTCTGCTTTTTGTGATTTATTTGCCTTGACATTCAATCAACATGATGTAATGAAAAATATAATAGATTTCCAGGATCAAACCATTGATATTCTCTATAACTGCTTTCTCAAACTGCAGCAATACCCAAAACTGAAAATAAACATAACATCAGGTCTTACATTTTGATTGAGGACCAATGAGAAACCTTTCATTTTAAGAGCACATCTAATTATTTTGATGATACCTGTTTAAAGTAGACATGCTTTTAAAATCGGGCTATTACCTCCAACTAGAAATGAATTGAAATTGAAAATACATTATGCAGCTCTCACAGTGGCATAGAAAGTATCTAAATGCTTCTTTTGTCCAACCCTCCTGCCACATCCACTAACACAGACAGGTAAATAATTTTAAAATTGCTGGATTATTATAGCGTCAACTTTAATCTTAAAAAACGTCTCAAAGCCCAAGAAAGGGAACATGCATTATTAATAAACAAGCAGCAGTCCCGCCAAATCCTAAAAGTAACAATGGTTGATGTTATTGAAAATGGCACATCCTTGTAAATTGTCAAGTGCTATCAATGAGCGAACAGTGTTTGAATAATGTCCTCGAAAAGAGTACGGCTCATCGTTCTGCTAAGTACTCCTGACCGGCGAGTGACCACACTCTGGCACATCAGTTTATTCATATTCTATTTATTTTTTTCGCCGTGATCGCTAGCTGCGATTGGTAGGTTGAACTAAAGTGTCATTGAAGAACAGGTCAACTGGAGAGGACACATTTAACAAGGACAAATGGAATTGCCTGACACATAGACGTAGCTGAAACTAGATGAGAGTATAGACCAAAATGACAAAGTGTGTGTATTTATAGCTTTACATAGGATTTGAAATTAGAATGCATTGTCAACCTTGCAGCTTTTGCCATGTGTTCAGAAATACTTTTATGTCAAGCTCATCTCACCATGGCAATCTTCTTGATGAATGGACGCTGTGGGGCTTGCAAAAGACCTAATACAACCAGAGCAAATTTGGCACAATTCGTCATGTCATGTTGAAAGACCAAGTGTGAAGAGGATTTGGTGAATAAAAAGCAGATATTTTGGGGCACGACTTTTCAAACTTTGCACATCTAAAGACGGAGAATTGTGCTTTTTTAATTTTACAAAACAACTCAAAGCTGTTTCTTTGTCTGTTCCACTGCTGCTGTCTTTCAGGGAAAATACATGAAATTATAATTTGCAGTAGTACATTTATCAAGACACAGTGAGCTCCAGAGAAAGAGGTGGACCTTGAAAAACTGGATGCACCCTCATTTTTATTCCTACAAAAATGGTAGAATAATAAGAAGTCATTCGGACGACATTTTGAACTGAAATGCAGAACGTGTAGCATTAATTATATCTTGTAGCTGATTTTAAGTATCTGATAGTTGATGGAGGAGTGACTTTTCATGCTTCAGTATACAGTGTTTCCACTGTATACTGAAGCGCGTAGTAAGAAGTTGAGGACACTTGACACTTTACTTGTTTGCAGCCGAAGTAGGGTGACGTTTGTCTGTATCATGTATACAGTACAGGTAATTATTATATTATTTAATACATTGAAATGCATTAAGAACTTTGAATATATTTAAATAAAGGCTTTTCAGGACTATAATAATTATATTCCCATTTGTTTAATTTTACCTGATTAATCAAGGGCTAAAACCCAAATTAGAAATGGTTTGGAAAAAGTATTATGTCTGTTGCCTTTTTTGTGAGTATACAGTGTTTCCATTGGCAGAAGGCTTGTCTCTTTGCCAATTCTCTCAGAGTCGGTCTAAAGTGAGCAGAGCATGTTTCTGGAAGCACTTGCAGACCGGGGAGTTGAGCAGAACCTCTGGAGATGTCCGCTGTCTGAGATCCACACAGTGATGGAGGAGAGTGTCCATGAGAAGACTGTGGTCAGGCTCTTTAGCCAAGTCCCTGTCCCCACTCACATAAATCTGATACTAGTCTTGCATCTATGTGACCACTGGAGGAAAACAGTGGTCAAAAAGTGCATTCACTTAGCAAAGTAACATGTACTTTCCTTAGTTGCCTATTTAAATGAAAAAAAAAATCTTAAAAATCTTAACATTTAAAATGAATTATTTTTTAATATTTTGACTGTTTGAAATATGTAGCCAGTGTTTAAATTCTACAAATACAATGCACAATCAAAAAAATAATAATGCTTGAACAATTTTGAGTATACCTTTTTCATACACAGTTGGTAGTCTGTGTATTTTTTTGTCATTGTATGTGTACTTTTAACTCTATGTAATTTAGAGTTCCCATTTAGACTTTCCTGACTCCATTAAAAAGGGTGACAGCTAAAACATACATTGTAAGATCTGAAACTTGTCTCATAATTTTAGGAACCAGATAGTCCTGACTTTGGGAACCATCAAATTATTGAATTTTTCATAGACAGTAATAAATAACCTCCCAAATGTCTACTTTCTCAACAATTCACATTTTTTTAGTCTGAATTAATGACGATTTACAACATTGTCCATAACCATCATTCCCTAAGTTTATTCTAGTCCCAGATGTTTGTACCTAATAAACTTGGTACACTTAAGTTTATTATGACCGGTATACAGCCCAAACTTACCTCGAAGCTCTGGCTCGGAGCTCCGTCTGAAACTATTAACATGATGTATTAGACGTGATATCGGCTGAACCTGGAAATGGGAGATATAGCAGTTCTATTACAGCCCCAGTCGTGCTGCAGCCACATGGTCCGACAGAAGGCGTATGCCCACATAAATCCACTGCATCTGGGCCTGTCGTTAGCTTCATTTGGCCATAAACCTTGAATATATTGCGCTAATGCTAACTTTGCTAAAGCATTATCTATAAATAATGAAACTTTGCATCAGGTTTGGTAGTAGTTTCTATTGACTGAAAACTTGATCAATATTTAAAGGCCGTTTCTCTGTGTGGTAGCGTGTACTTACAGCAGACATTATTGCGTTAGTACTGAACAGCTGAAGCACGAGCAGACCACTGAGCAGGTTACGTCTCCTCAGACATCCAATGTAGTGCGAGAAAGTACCACTTTCAACTCCTTCAGTGAGTTCTTCCGTGAAAGTCAAGGACCCTCACAGTTGACTTTTGTATCATAAAAATGTGATTCTTTTACATTTGCCATCTTTACTCACAATTCGGAAATGCCTCAGCTTCTTAAAAGTGCTTAGGCTTGACCAATGAATACAGAGGAATTCTGTCTATTAAAAGCTGTTTGATGAAAAGTACAGGGATATTTGAGTAAAATCTAAATATCTTGGCTCTGAGTCTCACGTTGCGTTTAAATTGAATTTTCTAAAACATGTTGCTTATAGGGCTTGATATTGTGAAGGATTTATCAAAACTATTATTATAAGAAACTTATTTTAACATGTAGAGTACAGTGTGCTCTCATGTTGCAATTCATTACTTTTTCGGATATACTGGATGATAAGAGGTGACAGAAAATGGAACCTTGCCATGTGAGCCATGGAAACAGCGTGGGACTTTTGGTTCCTGCGCGATGGTCTTTGAGAGGTCTGCCTTTGCACTGATCGGCATCCACGTGTGTGTGGAGCCACGGACACATTAGGTCTAACCTCAAGTCAGAAACCTTGTCTCTATGCTCTGTAACACACACAACATGTAATCTTTATTTGAATTGGGACAGTGCACATTTATCAACATGTATTTTTATCATGTAAATGTGCCAGAGTTAGCCATGTAGGCTAATTTTCATCCGTAGTCCCATGGCAGGTTGATATTAAGACAGATAAAGCATACAACAGGCACACACAGACACACACATACAAACCCACACAGAGACACACACCATCACAGAGACATAACAAAACAGGGTATGTAACATTTGGTAAAATATGTAAAATAGATACATTAGCACAGATAAAAGATCAGAGGGACAATACACAAGACACCACAGTTTTCCATACAGCAATGTATCAATGGTTGTGACTTTAAACCATATGTTCACATTTTTGATTGTCCACAAGCCACTTCTTGACAGGTCAGGTTCCTCAGTTCTGTTGGGATCGAGTTCCAGGAATGTGCTGCGCGAACTGAGAAGGCAGATTGTCCAAATAAAGTCTTTCTGAATGGGATTTTACAAACTCCTCTGCTTGATGATCGAGTATTTGAGTTTACATTCAGCTGTAGGAACTCCTGCAATGGAGTAATTACGATTTATTCCCTCCTCACTTGGTGGGGACGAGCTACTAGTGTAGCCACAGCTGCCCTGTGGACGACTGACAGAAGCAAAACCATGACTGTACTAACTACATGTCAGAAAAACTGTGTCCATATAGTTCTCATCTTATAAAATGTGACCTAGACAACAAAAAAGAAAACACCCCTGTCAGAAATAGATATGAATTGGCCCCAAGTTTCTTATTCCTGAAAAGGTTGGGCACCAAGTTTAGAAAGGTTAAGAAAACTTGTCTAACCCAGGGCCTTCAAAAACCTTTTATTATGCACTGTTTTCAGACATGTTGCATAATAACACCTCTGGCCAGAGCAGAGATCAACATGTTGATGAAAACTGTTTCTGCTTTTGTACATTTCCTTGTGAGAAATTCTGACTCAACATCATCTGCACTTCAAACCCAAATCCCAAAGTTTGAACCCTTGTGCATAAAGACAAACACTTTACAGTGCTCTGACTGTTTCAGTCTCAAACAGTTGTTCCTGTAGTACTCGCCGATTCAATCAACTAACCACTGTGTGGCTGCAGGGATTTACCACAACTTTTGAAATTTAGTTTTTATGTGTTTTAGTCATATAAAAATAAAACACACCCACTCACAACCAATGCAGATTTGACATGCTGAAAATGCTGCAAGGGAGATCTATTAATAATCTGTTTTTGTCTTTGTTGTTTCTTTATTATGAATTAAATGTGATTATGGCCCCAATCATGTTTAATTTCTAAAGGGCTCTCCAGAAAATGCTCAAAAAGTTAAAAATATTCTTTGTAAGTGTTTTGATTGTGTCTATAGATGTAAATTGCTTACCCATAGCTCAATGAAACTGAATAGGGAAGTGCTCATGAACAATGTTTTGCTCCTACTTTCTCCTATTGATTAAGTATGTCCTCTTGCGACCATTTCTTTCACTCACCATTTTGGGTTTTTAACAATCCATAATCTCTTTTTGATCCTGACATTTATGAGGTGATATTTCTTTGCACATGCAGATATGAGTCTTAAGAACTGACCAATCAGAAGCCTTCTTGTCGCCAAATTCGGCTTTTAATCCAGCGAGTTATCTGAGTGTGGACAGACCGGCGTTGTTTCTGATTGGAAAAATTTGCATACATTTTGCTCCACGTTCCCACTCAAATAGCCTGTTCGAGCTCGCTCTAATCGCCCATTTTCCACATAAAGGCTAACACTTTAGTTTACAAAAATTGTCCAGGGCCCGACAACACACACTGACTGAATTTGGGCTTTGAAATGAGGTATGACTTCTACATATGGTTCATATTTGACAGAGATGAAGTTGGCTGAATGACAAATATTTACTCACTCAGCTACATTAGCACCATACTATAATAATAATAATAATAATGTATTGGTTTTATATAGCGCTGTTTTGGACACTCGAAGGCGCTTCACATGTCATTATTCTTTCAAAGTCTTGTGGTGCGCTTGAACCTCAAGACCTTCAGGCTTAAAGGCCAATTCTTTACCAACTGAGCCACTGTCGCGCAACAATGTAAAAAAAAATGTAAGAAGTCACACGAAGCCAAGGACTGTTGGTTGGATGACACTGAACTTGTGTTTATGGTTACTTTGTGTTAGCAGCAGAGGGCCATATAAAATGACACGGAGGGCCACAATTGGGCCTGAGTTTGGCCGGATTTAGACGAACACAAGAAAAACTAAAACAAAATTTGAATCCTTTGTATCCCGACAATACCATTGAGTGCAGATAATGTCACGGCTACTTTAATTTGCAATTACACCCTGAATATTGATCTCACTAAGTATATAAACGTTTAACTTGCATTAACATTTAAATGGCAGCATATGTCTTTTTTCTAATGAATTGAGTTTTTTCTGTGTTGGAATTAAACAATTTAGAAGAACAATGAGCTTATATAATGCAATGTGCTGAGTTCCATATATTGTTCTCTGCCATTTTTGCTTTAGCTTTAATTCTCGCTATTAGAAATGAAAATGCCACCAAATGAGTCTGCAGCATTTATGAGGCAATCCATTCTCAACGTCTTATCCTTGAACGCTGATGGAGGCTAAGTTCAAAAACACTAATAATATGCTTCTGGGGAAATGGAAGGCCACGCTTCAGGATACATGTACATTTTCTATTTCATTTGCATAAAACATTGACCGTGCAGCCGTTACTATTGATAGCGTACGAAATGCACTGCCTGAAGCAAGGGCCAAATGTGATCTCCTGACCCAGCTTAAATATATGTGATTTTTCCAATAATCAAAGTAAACTAATATTTTATAGTATAAATATGCAGTGGTATAGTATGGAGTATAAACCCATTTCACTCTGAGGCACAAGAGATTGAAACATACTGCTATAATATAACCACTTGTGACCATTTGTCCTTCTTAAACATGGCAAATGAACTAATCCAACTACCTCATCTACAAATTGCACCATCAAGTAAATGGGCCACATCTCTACACTAGGTCCTAATCACTTATCTGCCATTAGAGTTGCTGGCCGGGGGGTATAATTGAAGTGGCTCATGGTTGTGGAAAATAACTTTGGCGTTATCACCAACAAAGACGCAAGGGTGGCCGGCTTACTACGGATACTATTGTGAAAGAGCTTATTAGATTATGTAGGACTTGTCCTTTCTCACACTTTGCTCAGACTTCAAAGTGCGAGGCCATGAGTTGAGGCCCCAATGTTAAAAGTTCTGGCCTGTCGTATCGGTAACATTTGGTGAGTTTTGGCATTAGCTACAGTATGTTACAGATGGCAATTTCACACTTCAAAACCCAATTTTTTAGACCATGTGGAAACTGTGGTAGCCCTGGAGCAACATCCTCTTTAATGGAAATGCTTACTTGTATTTGAAATCTCCTGAGATTTCCCCATCTAGATATTAAATAGAAAAATGTTTATTAAAATGTTTATTAGAGCAAAGAGTGTTCTGGTGAACAAATGGAACTGCACAGTGGATGCTTTCAATCAATCAAATGTTTTTCACAGCGTGTGAAAAACACAAGGCATTCAATCATGAACACCAAGCTCACGCAGGGCATTCAAATCCTAAATAATCAAAGTACATTTAAAATGGTACCTTTTCTAGTCCGATTGTTCCAGATTTTAGCTGCACACATTTGAAACGCAGCCTCCCCATGTTTAGTCCTGACTCTGGGCACCAGCAGGAGGCCAGACCCTGTGCTCCTCTGAGTTGGTTCATATGGCACTAACTTGTCACTTATGTACTTTGGTGCAAGACCAATTGGGAGACTTGTAGACAAGCAGAGCTGCTTTGAAACCTTTTTGTCTGAAGGTATTACAAATTTTGTGTGTGAGGACTGGGTCGCTGAGGTGTCCGCCCTCAACAGCCGCCCAGTCCTCTCTGCACCTGCGCTTCGTCTGGCTCGTTTGCCATGGGGGCCTTACCAGGGGCATGAAGATCCCATGGGATCATCCGAGTACTTAAACTTGGTGTGATTAGTTCAGAGGACTACAGTGGTCCTGCTCCTGCCCCTCAGACCTGCTCCTGCCCCTCAGACCTGCTCCTGCCCCTCAGTCCTGCCCCTGCCCCTCAGTCCTGCTCCTGCCCCTCAGTCCTGCTCCTGCCCCTTAGTCCTGCTCCTGCCCCTCAGACTTCCTCCTGCCCCTCAGACCTGCTCCTGCCCCTCAGTCCTGCTCCTGCCCCTTAGTCCTGCTCCTGCCCCTCAGTCCTGCTCCTGCCCCTCAGACTTCCTCCTGCCCCTCAGACCTGCTCCTGCCCCTCAGTCCTGTTCCTACAGGACTGAGTTGAGTCCTGTTCCTACAGGACTGAGGGCCGAGCGGAAGTGGCGCAAGTCCAACCTCCAGGTTGATTACAAGATCTTCAAAGATAAGTTGTGCGAGTTTAACCAGGTGCTACGTAGTACGAGAGAAAGGTATTTTTCTGAAATGATTGAAGGCTGCAGCAACAATCTGCGTGTTCTGTTTTCAACAGTTAATAGATTAACGAACCCCCCTGTTCAAATGCCATTAGAGCTAACTTCCAAACGTAAATGTAATGAGTTTGCACATTTTTTCAATGACAAGGTTCAAGGCATCAAAAACGCCATTGTCTCCAATCCACAGATAACAATACAACAGCCAGAAAGGCTCTTTGAGCTAACTTACTTTGCACCTGTAAATGATCAAACTGTCCAAGAGATAATCTCCAGTTTGAGCTCCTCCACATGCAGCCTGGATGTACTACCCACTAGATTTCTGAAGTCTGTTCTGAGCAGTCTGTTACCTTCACTCACACAGATAGTAAACATGTCCCTTCATTCTGGAATATTCCCAAAGGCCCTGAAAACTGCAGTCATCGGGCCCCTGCTAAAAAAGAGCAGTCTGGATGCTACGGTACTTAACAACTATCGTCCCATCTCAAATCTGCCATTTATGGGGAAAGTCCTTGAAAAAGTTGTCTACCTACAGCTTACTAGATTTCTTATAATCAACAACTCATTTGATATGTTTCAGTCCGGCTTTAGACCCCACCACAGCACTGAGACTGCTCTCGTCAAGGTTACAAACGATATCCGGCTGAACACTGACGCAGGCAAAGTCTCAATCTTAATCTTGTTAGATCTAAGTGCTGCCTTTGACACCGTCGACCATGAGATCCTCTTACAGAGACTAGAGGACTGGGTTGGCGTCGCTGGCACCGCCCTAAGTTGGTTTAGGTCTTACCTTGAAGACAGGAAGTACTTTGTGGAGATTGGAAACTGTGTCTCAGATCATATGGCCCTGACCTGTGGAGTCCCACAGGGGTCGATCCTGGGACTTCTTCTGTTCAATCTCTACATGCTGCCATTAGGTCAGTTAATACGCAGAAACGACGTTTCCTATCACAACTATGCAGACGACACTCAGATCTATGTCTCACTGACTGCAGGAGAACATGGACCAGTGGACTCACTCCTTCACTGTATCCAACAGATCAGTGAGTGGATGCAAAACAACTTCCTTCAGCTAAACGCAGACAAAACTGAAATTATTGTCTTTGGTCCCCAGAAACAAAGAGAGAGCGTCATCTGTCATCTACAGTCTCTCTCCCTAAAACCTTCAAACAAAGTCAGAAATCTAGGGGTAATACTGGACTCAGACTTAAATTTGAATAGCCACATCAAATCAGTAACATCAGCAGCTTTTTACCATCTAAAAAACATTGCCAGGATCAAAAACATAGTGTCTAAAGCAGACTTGGAGATTCTTATCCATGCATTTGTCTCCAGTAGGTTAGACTACTGCAATGGCCTGCTCACAGGTCTGTCCAAACAGGCTGTAAAACAGCTGCAGTACATTAAAAATGCAGCAGCTCGAGTCCTGACTAGAACCAGGAAGTACGACCACATTAGTCCAGTCCTCAGGTCTCTGCACTGGCTTCCTGTGGCTCAGAAAATAGACTTTAAAACAGCTTTGCTTGTGTACAAGTCTCTCCATGGCCTCGCACCAAAATATATTAGTGACATGTTAGTCCCATATGAACCAGCCCGGACTCCTGTTAGTGCCCAGAGTCAGAACTAAACATGGGGAGGCTGCTTTTCAGATTCATGCTGCTAAAATCTGGAACAATCTTCCTGGAGATGTGAGACAGGCCTCCTCTCTGACAATGTTTAAAACCAAGTTAAAAACGGTGCTGTTTAGCTGTGCATACAACTGAGGGATTTTATATTTTTATCTTTCGTTTTAATGTTCTGTGATTATTTATGATTTTAATGCTATCTTGTTCAGCACTTTGAGTTGCCTTGTGTATGAATTGTGCTATACAAATAAACTTGCCTTGCCTTGCCTTGCCTTGCCTTACCCCTCAGACTTCCTCCTGCCCCTCAGACCTGCTCCTGCCCCTCAGTCCTGCTCCTGCCCCTCAGACTTCCTCCTGCCCCTCAGACCTGCTCCTGCCCCTCAGTCCTGCTCCTGCCCCTCAGTCCTGCTCCTGCCCCTCAGACTTGCTCCTGCCCCTCAGACTTGCTCCTGCCCCTCAGTCTTGCTCCTGCCCCTCAGACTTCCTCCTGCCCCTCAGTCCTGCTCCTGCCCCTCAGTCCTGCTCCTGCCCCTCAGTCCTGCTCCTGCCCCTCAGTCCTGCTCCTGCCCCTCAGACCTGCTCCTGCCCCTCAGACCTGCTCCTGCCCCTCAGTCCTGCTCCTGCCCCTCAGACCTGCTCCTGCCCCTCAGACCTGCTCCTGCCCCTCAGTCTTGCTCCTGCCCCTCAGTCCTGCTCCTGCCCCTCAGACCTGCTCCTGCCCCTCAGACCTGCTCCTGCCCGTCAGCGCCATCTCCTCTGCAGCTGTATTTTACAGTGATGGCACGGCAGCACTCAGACGTACAACAAACATGTTTGCTTTCTCCGTTTTTGTATTTTAGCAGTCGTGAGTTCAGGTGATTAGAAAATCTCTGTTTTAAGGGTTCCACAGCCTTAAAACATAGAGCTGCTACTTCGCAGATTCAGTTTATTTTATTTCTAGAATGTAACCCCTGCAATAAACGAAAGACCACTGTATTTCGTTTTGTATATACATTTACAGATTTTTGTAATGTTTCCCTCAGCTTTACTTGTGTTTTCTTTGTTCAGCCTACATCAATGCTGATGTTGTCCACGATATGTTATGGAAAAGAAAAAGTGTTTAAAGCCTCTGGCCTCTATTCAAACATAATTCATCACAATGCATCCCAGCATCGGCACCTTAATCAGTCCTAAATAAATAGAGGAATCAAAGTGGACGATTACCCATGAAGCCTGTATCGCTGCTGACCGAAGTTTTTTTGTGCTATCAAACTGTTGGCAAACCCAGAGGCAAAACTTCATATTTCTTTTAAAGGTAATTTAATTTTTGGGGGAGATGTTGACAGTTGTGACTGAAACAAAGCCAGAGATAGCGCCCAGACGGCCCTCCTCACCAAATCCACAGATTAAAACACTTCTGTTCCCATAAGCTGCTGCAAGAACACACGACTGCAAAAATCTTTCTCTAAATGCCAGCGCTACAAAGTCACTTCCAACTCATAAAAAAGATTGCTTATGTCAGATAATCCTTCCTAGTATAAGCGACTTTCTGAGGCAAACTTCATTTCCTTATTGGCATGTACTTGATGATGTGTGGTGTTCCAATTAGACAGACCAGTGAAGTAGTTCTTTTTGGAACTGAAGCGTGCAAAGCAGGTTAGAAAAGTTAGTTTGCTGCATTATGCTTTTTCACCCTATCAGAAGAAGGATAAATAGATGGAATTTGCAATTTCTATAAGATTCCATTACGCAGAGTGGTGCTAGAGAATCAGATGAATTATGCAAAACCTGACATAGGACAGATTTAGGTATATTATTACATACAACTCTCAGGCACATTTCATGTGTTATCATGAAAATGTAATATCATCATAATAATAATATAATTGTACAGATACTAGGCCCAAACCAAGAGGATATAAAAGAGAACATTTAATGACACTCACGAGTTACAAAGTACATACAAAAATAACTGAATGAAATCATACCCTCGGGGAGACACTTTGGATTGGAGAGAGAGAGCGGAAGCCCAAGAAGCCTCTCAGGAGGCCTTCTCACATGCTACATGCTGATGGGTCGCATACAGGACCAGAGAAGAGAGCCAGCCGTACGCTTGGTCTCTTCCCCCCAGGTCACACTCGATTGGCCAGTAAAGTGGGCACAGAAGACAGTGGTGGCCCCCTGGGAGGGGAAGGATGGATGCCAATTCACTCCAACAAATGTAACAGCCCAAAACATGTCATAATTCACCTTGAATATAATCCCAGTGCATGTGTTTGATTAATGTTTGAATGTTAGCACCAAACTTTGCCTGTGATTTTTTGCCCAAGTTTTGGGATTGAAAAACAGATTCAACGTCTGAGAATAACTCTGCAAGAGCTTTTAAATGGGATACGGCATGTGCAAATTTGTGATTTATAACTTTAAGAGCAAGAGTATTGGTGTTTAAAATTAGCATGCTAATGTTGCTAATATAACAAGCAGAAGGTGCAAACATGTTACTAACACTTATGTAATACCAGTGTGAAGAGATTCCAACTCTGAAAAGAGCAGTGTAAGACCTACGCATTATTGCTTTAGCAGAGACTAATGATATACTTTTGATGAGGAGTTTTGCAGCGTCACATATGCTCACTCTACTCTCCACAGATGGTTTGGCCTCGATGTTTAAATTGACTAAATCCCATTTTCTCCCCGCTCTTTGGTCCCATTCACAACAATCCCATAAAGGCAAAGACAGAAGGGAAAAAAGTCGACACGGCCTCGGCAGACTTTTACGACTTTCTCACAATCGTTCAGGAGTACAATAGTATTTTTATGGTGCCAGGGTACTGCTCCCCTCCGCCTCTCCTGAAGCCACCACCAGCAGCAAACTAACAAGGCCCTTATGTTTAATGGACTCGACACACTTTATCTCTCCCACCTCCAGCCCTCACCAAATTGTCACTGCTATGAGCAGGCGACAGAGACAGGCAGGCGGCCATTTTTCCCTCTCCTAATGGAGCCTAATTCAGAATGTGTTTTACACCTTTCGCCTGCTGTTTCACACAGTCCCGATGGACCACTATCTGCTCCCTGTTTTCTGTCTCTGTATATTATGAATTAGACTGAAGTTAAGGTATTTTGTTCAGGGCTCTGACAGACAGTTCCAGCAATGGAACATTTTGTCCTCAAAGTTGATTTTTGCAGCATAAAAATAAGGATTGAGTCATTCTCTGACCCGCCAGTCTGAAGTGGTCAGCATCTGTCAAGAGTTGTCTGAGGAAAGAACAGCAGTAAACTCACTACAGGTGATACTTCCAAGCATGGACTGACATGTGGAGCTATCCTTCAGGAAACCCGCAGAGCTCCAACTGACAAAGACTTGCAGAGGAATGTGTCCAATAATGTACAGTTGATGTGTGTTGGGTTTTGCATGTAATGCGTTCTTACTGTATGGACCAAAAGGATTCAGTGGCTCCAGTGGTGCAGTGAAATGCAAACGTAAATGTGCATTTTATCTATCCCCGTAGTGAACTTTGCCCCCTGCATTTGACCCATCCTACAAATACCATAGTGCCTCTGTCAGGAGCAGTGGTCACCATGGTGCCCATCTCCTGATGTTGATGCTCGGGATGGTCAGGACTACAACAGCTGGAGGATTTACTTATTGTGCATGTTTTTAGCAGATGTACATGTCGTCATGCCTTCACTCCAGGAGGAGACTAATAATGTGTATCTTGGTGCTTATCGTTGTATTTCTAGAGCCAACAGGCTGTTCTGCTTAGATAACCAGCGTGATTTGCTGCGTTAAATGGCTGATTGCTTGGCTGTTGCTCGTACAGCTCTGCATGTGAACGTGTGACACTTTCATCCATGCGTGGCCACATAAATGTAATTTTCTGCTGCAGCTGTGTATTGTGCGCCTGTGCTGGAAGTGCAGGTCTGGCAGCTCGTTCAGTCAGTCAGCGAGCTTAGCGGCAGTTGCCTGCAGCACGGCTGAGTGAGATTAAAGTCACCCGTATTGCACTTACTGCCAGGAGATGAGAGAAAATTAGCAGAGAATTAAACAATGCTATTTGCATACAATTACACAACTGCACGGCAAAGCTCTCGCCGCAGCTTCTCTGTCTGCTCGGCTAAGTAGAGCTGCTAAGAATCGTCTTATTAACTATATGCAAACAGCTCACTGGCCTTATTCAATCAGTATTTATTTGGACTGCAAGAAAACTCACTCAATTCAGGGTTGTTGTTTTTTTTTCTTCCATAGAGTGATTATCCGACTATTAGCAATTTTATGTGTGCACTTCATCATCATTATAATAGGCCCTAAATGGAAGAACAGGCTATAAAGCCCATCACAAAACACGCAGGAAAATATAGAATAATATGTGGTATCTTTATTGGGCAGAAGTCAGATTGGGTGAAGCAGCCCGAGCATCAAAACCAAACACTGGTCGTTCTCTTCTCCACTGGCTTTTATGAACAAACAAATTATATGGGAAATCTCACCCGGATAGCGTCACACAAATATTTAACTTCGATGCCCTGTCTGACATACCGCTCAACATTTACTATAAGCTCTAGAGTTGCGCGCATTTCGATTCATATTTAGTATTACCCCACATCTAATTTATAATTGTATAATTTAAAACGCAAATTGTCCTGCTTTCTTTCTACATAGTACAACCTCTCCATTCTCATAAACCTATTTCAGAATTGCTCTATGATACCAAATAATAATGAAATATGGAATTGGCTTGAAGACCCCTTGGAGCAATTTTCTGCGATGCCATACTCAATGAACCACCTCTGGCTGCCAGTTGGGACAATGTGAAAAAACATGTAAATTAATAATATTTCCACTGGCAAATATGTCAGGACAACCTTTAGGGACTTGCGTTTATGGCCTCCAGGTATGTGTTCGACAAATACATGCTGAGAAGTTTTGATTCCATTTTTTTGACAAGTTTTTGATTTGCTACTCCTGCATAAACAGACATAGATATTTGTTATTTATATTATGCATGAACCCATAAGTATGTGATTCCTCTTTGCTCCTTTGACAGCAGACACGCTCACGGCTGCAGGTTAATACAAATTGGAGGCTTGGATTTGGTTTGCGCTCACAAGCCGACTTCACTTTGATATTTCAGCTTGACATCCGCCTTATGATGCGCAGGCTTTTAATGCGAGGTGTGCTTCCCTGCTGCGAAAGCGTTCTTGACGTCGGATGCGTTTACATTGACATGCAAACCGACCTCTTTCAGATATTAAAACTCACCTATCAATCCCTCCTCATAACATGTACTCAGGATCTGGCGGGGTCCTATCTGTGCGGCGGATCCTCTCGTCCAACAGCCAGGTGACGGCGCCCGCTGAAATATTAATGTGCGCAGTGAAGTGTGGCGGTTTGGAGTCTTGCCCCCAAACGGGCTTTTGTTCTTTGGACCAAGCGCAGAGCAAGTGAGTCCCATTGACGAGGTCCAGGGCTGGATCTGTGCGACGGGACAAATCCAACCGATGCAAATTATTCATGGCCGGAGTGTGAATTCCGTCTGGGACCGCATGAGCCTTTGCAGATTATTCAAGCCACTGATACATTTGAGACTTGTCTTTTTTCCTACTACAAGCAAATAATGTAAACCATTAAATGTGAAGCACTTGCATTTTGTAGTGGGGGGTTTGTTATCTCTATGGAATCAGAATCAGAATAATTGTTATTGCCGTTGGAAGTAGCAAGAAGTTACAGATCCTGTCAGACCTCTGAAGCTGTGTAGGGTAGGGCCTGGTTAGTACTGTGATGGGAGACCTCTTACACCAGGTGCCACAAGTGGGGCGGCTGCGGCTGCGGGTGTAAAGTGCCAAACTGCTGACACTTCACCCAGAATGAGTCTGGTGTGTGAATGGCTTGTGGGGGTCGGGGGGCCGATGGCACATACTGGTTGCCTCCCTTCTGTCAGTGTGCCCCAGGGCAGCTGTGGCTACTGTAGAAGTTTATCACCACCGTGTATACAGTGAAAAAATAATGACATGTGAAGTGTCTTTGAGTGTCCTGAAAAGCGCTGTATAAAACCAACGCATCATTGTTAAAATTACACATGGAAATCATAATGTAGCTATTGGCTCAGATTGAGAGATGCATTGGTTCAGTTAGATAGATATATTTACAATTACAGTTACAGACATAGGAAATGCATGTTGTCAGTATCCAGCTTGTTAAACCTTTTGGCTGTTTTATTCATGAAAATACTGAACTACATTTTTATGATGAACCATTTTTTCCTCCACACATCTGACTTACAATATACGTTGGCCCATATAGAGCATCAGCAGGTTGTTTTTTTTATATACACATCATAAAGATACCACATGCCATGCAAAAGTAAGCAGACAAATGTATGGAGAAAGATTCAGCATAAGACCGAGAGTTTTTTTTTTTTTTTCAGTCATCCAGCTGCTCTCTGCCAATCATGGCCTGCAAACAGCCTCTTAAGAAATCACCGCACATAAGTCCACTCTCTTCTGGCAGAATTTCAACCATGGTTTATGTATATACTGTCTGCCAGATCCACCTGATTCTTACTCTCAGTCATCGGCAGCCTGCAACGCAGTCTCCTTTCTTTGTATTTCTTATGACGTTGATTGAGCCTGATCATTGCACATTTGTGTTTTAGTCTCTGTGAGTAAGAATAGTCTGTATGTTAGAAGACAGTACATTTCAGATGGCTTGAAAAAGACATTTCTTTATTCATCCCACAGTAAGGAAATTTCAGCTTGATGAATACACACATACTGTACACATCACGGCATGCAGCGTACCATTACTGCCATGCTCCACATGGGCAAAGTTGGGTAAAGTGTCTTGCCCAAGGACAACGTCAGCAGAGTTGGTGGAGAAGGTCTTGGGCCGGAAGATCTGTCAGCTAGATTGCAAAGAACATTAAAATTCTAGTGTTTGAAGTTAGCATAACACCTCCTCTGCCCCATAGTATCAAGTTATTCTTTCTTTTCTTTTCTATTTTTTCTCAAAAAGTCGAAAGCATCCTCTAGCACTCAAGAGCTACAACTGCTCAACCTCATCTTCTGTTGTAATGAGACCGCAAGCTATATTTTCTCCCAAACTCGGTTGCGTTTCATATGTTCCTAAATAAGAAATGAGCAGTGATCTCCGAGACTCTCCGCATGTAGTGAGTCGATGCTCTCCTGTTGCTTTGCTCCAACCTCTTCACATCGCCTGAAGCTCCCAGAGGAGTTCACCGCCGCCATGTTTGTGCTGCCTCTGATGCTGTGCTGTGTCTCTGTGTGTGAGGCTGGTCTTTTCACTCATGTGGCTAGCTGTGTGTTTCTCTTACACATGCATGCAGTCAGACAAGTGGGCCAAGACAGTTTTTTAGGAGCTGTGCTGAATGTATTTAGCTTCTGCATAAAGTTAAGGTTAAGGTTGGACGGCGACGTGACGGCTGCGTGGATGGCGCTCTTTCAGCAAGAAGGTCCAGGGTTCCAGGGCCTTTCTGAGTGGAGTTTGAATGTTCTCCTCGTGTCTGCGTAGGTTTTCTCTGCGCGCTCCGGTTTTCCTTGCCACTAAAAGACATGCACAGTAGGTATGAATTTAATGAGTGAGTGTTGGTTGGGGGGCTTTGATGTGCCAGTGTGTTCGGCGTCTGGCTTTCGTCATCACCGTGTGTGCAGAAAATGGAACACTGTCTGAACATTGTTAAGCGCATTGGGTGACCTTGGTCTGTAAAAATGAGTTATATAACTTACTTACTTAAATATGTTTTAACTTAAGCCAAAAAATAGATAGAGGGACTTTCCTTTGCACTGTACCACCTCCTGCATGTAATTACAGTGGCAAGTATTCATTATCGATTATCAGTTTTGGTTAAAGATATTTTTACATGTTAATACTTAATGCATCACTAGTTGGGGTAAAAATATAATACATGTATGATAGTTAGTTCTGAGTTATACTACTAACTGATTATTGGTTTGTAAACTTCTACGGTCCCAGAATGTCCACACAAGTCTTACTATAGTTCACATGGCCTTAAACTAGCAAAGAATGGGCAATAAAACTTTGATTGTAGTTCAACCAACTACTTCTCAGTAAACCGTGAGCATTACTGAGGAAAAGTTCATTGTGAATACTTTTTTTTACGTGTTATATACTTCACTGCAACATATGTTCTCCCTCCCCCCTCTTGAGGCACACACGAGAAAAGCATGTTCGTCACATAAGTCGTCATTTGAGACCAACATTACAATGTGTGCAAGTGCAGACTGTGTTTCACCCTGAAAACGCTGCCACCTCTCCTTGTGCTACAGTCGTATCATCACCACTGTGTGAGTGAGTGAATGATGCTGTGAAGAGTCTTTTGGCCGTTATGAAAAGCGATATTTGTCTATCGAGTGCATCTGTGTTTTTCAATGATATTCAGCTCCAAAAATAACAGCAGTCTCTTGGATACAGTACAAGCAAACAAGGCGTTATAATAACGCTGCACATACAATGGCAGGGCCAGTCTTGCTGATCAGGTGGGATCATTACAGTTGCCTCCAGGCCTCAGGGCTCGCCAAAACCCTGCAGACACTCTCAGTTGGAGAGCTTTGGAGAAGTATGCCAAGGCCTTTAATCTTTCCACCCCAAACAAGCAAGCTGACATATTGTACTTTGTACCTCTGCGAGTACAGACTCATTGGGCCACACTCAGTTTTTCCTTTTCTGTGGCAATTCAGAATAAATACAAATTTGGAAATCCATTTGACACAAAATAGACTCAAGGGCAAATAACCCTGCTATACACATTTCAATATTTTAGTTGGAAAGCTTGAAATCTTGCCATCTTGATAATCTCAGTGGAATGTTAGTATCTTCGGCTATTAAAATCCCTGACATTTTAAAGCAAAAGAAATGATGTTGATACCATAATGTGAGAAAACTTGAGAAAACTTCCACGGTAAACCTTCAACCATTTTTGTGACTCTAGTTTGCATTACCTGCATCCTCACAATGGGGCCTCTCTCCTTTGTGTGCCTGGAGGAGTTTGTTGTTCGCATGCATGGCCAGTTATTTGTCGAAATCTCCCGGCCGCGCCATCAGGCAAATAGCTCCTGCAATTTTGTGGTGGAGAGGCTGCGTCTGGTTCAAGGTTTCTCATTTGCAGATGTGTTGGAAGTGGGGTATATGTGCTCTTTTTCCACATTTTGCTGACGCCTTTCTCAGCCGTGCTTATGTGGCATCCTTAGCTGTGTGAATCTAACCTTGCACAGAGATGGAGCTCATACCTGGGAAAAGAAAAGAGACAAAAAGAGCAAAAAAGATCCACACATGCTCAGACTACAAACTTGGGAGACATTTGCACAAGGCCGAAAACACATCAGGCTTTTCAGTCGCTTTAGAGAAGTTTACCTGTGTCTGACCTGTGTGCGGTTACAGCGCTCCTTTCTGCCCTAAAAATCTGTGGTATTTCAACACAAACTGCTTTCAGACCTGAGCTGGAGACAGCCAGTTCTTTTAACCTTGTCTAGACTGTGACAAAAATACAACTTTTTGAGAGGTGGTGTCAAACTTGGTATCACAAATAGTATCCGTTTTTTATAGAGGAACAGAATATTCTCCAGCTGCAACACCAGCCTGTTTTTAAAGGTGGAAGGGTTGTATCAAGTTCATTAAGTATTACAGCTAATCAATTTATTGAAATAACAGGAACTCATTTTAGTAATACATTAATTGTTTGTTTTTCTTTTTTTTAACAATACAGACATTTAATCGTGATCTGCAGACGTTTTATGACTCGCAACAGAGAAGTAATTACGGCAGAATAAAAGGAAATGCGTAAACATTAAATTAAACAACAGCATTAATGTGGCTTGTCAAATATATTTTATACTCTCAACTCTTTTGTGATCTAAACATGTAGTTGGTGAATAAAATGACTTGATCACCAGATGATCAGCAATTACGGTCAACAAATTGATGATCAAAATATCTGTTAACTACAGCCGTAAAACTTTATGTTCAAGTCTTCCTCTTGGTTTTAATTGAATTTTGTATTTATAACTTTGGAAGTCGTTAATTCTAAGCAAAGCAGCAGAGCACTTTATTGGTCTTTTGATTGGTTTTTCCAACGGTCTTGAAACTCCTCTCTATTGACATATAACTTGATGCTTTATATGAAAAGATCCAGCATGAGGACTTTCTACCCTCCCGAGTTGAAACATGTAGAAGGAGGACCTCAAACTCTCACCTTTTGCTGCGTGGGAGAAAGGGCCAGCTTCAAAACCTTGATCCCCACCACAGTTTCGGTTAAAAGTTTACTCCGAATGGGTCGCACTTGAGGCCTTCCAGGTCACGTCAAAACTAAAGCCAATCAATAGGTTATATCATCATATAAATGTAACCTTTTGGTGTAGAACAATCACACAATGTCCTTTCCTGTATCACTGTTAGAAAAAGGTTCAAAGACA